TAACCACTCCTCCCAATTTGGAGTCTTTCACAAACTTGCCAAGAGAACACTCTGTCCCATCCATCTGCGTGGAGAGACACCACAAGCTGTTGCTGGCTGACAGCTGGACTTGGCACTACTGACTGCATCTCCAAGCCCAACAGACCAGCTATTTCCCTACTCATTTTAGGGCCACTTTATCTAGTCCGTACCTCCCCAGTCTGGTGATAACGAGCTGGCTCTGAGGTCTTACTGACATCAAAGTATACTATGTTCCCTGTCCACTGCATTTACTAGATCCGCCACTTCTCTGCCCTTAGAAAGAACGGCCTTGCTGCACCAGCTGCTCCAAATCCTTTCCTTGCCCTGTGCATGTTTAGAAAGTGCTTTTGAGATAACTTGCTTCATAGCCTCCACAGGGACTGAAGTTATGGTGACTGGCCTGTAGGTACTTGGATACAGTCACCTACTAGCCCTCTCTAAGGATGTATGTGATATTTGCCTTTTCCCAGTTGTCGTGAACCTCCCCAGTTGCCATGGCCTTTTGAAGACAACGGACAGCAGCTCTGCAATGACACTGGCCACCTCCTCCAGCACCCTTGTATGTAACCCATCTTGTCCGACAGACTTTTAAGGTCTAATTGCTGAACAGATTCCTAATTCCATCTTCTTCTACTGTGGTTACTATTTCAAGCCAGGGACCCATGAACCCCAAAGGTTAGGCCCTACCAGTCAAAACTGAGGCAAAAAAAAAGCGTTGAGCATCTCCATCTTTTCCATGTCCCTTGTCACTAGATCCCCATCCCTACCAATCAACACATGCTCTTACTTTTGCTAATGACACACGTAACAGAAAGTTCTTAATTGCTCGTCAGCGCTCTTTGCGGCCTCAGCTCCAGCTGAACTTCGGCCTACTTCATCATGCTCCCAATACATAATCCATATACATAATACAATACCGTATAGCCTCTCCCTCCTTCCACCTTCTGTACACTTCCTTTCTTTGTGTGAGCTCAGTCACAATCTCCACATTCATCCTTAAATAAGTGGTTGGAGAGTTGCAGCCAGAGTGTTTTTCAACAAATCTATGTTCAGGTGGAGGCAAGTGCCAAGTCATGTCCCTCAGGCGTCCATCTTGGGAGCAGGAGTTTTCAACATCTTTATCAAAAACACAGGTAGTAGAATCGAGCAGTATGTCCTCAGTAGGCTTGCTGATGACACCAAGATAAGTGATGCAGTTGACACAACAGAAGGAATGGATGAGATCCAATGGGAGCTGGACAAGCTTAAAAAGTGGTCCCACGTGAAAACTGAATGAGGTTCAACAAGGTCAAGTGAAAGGTGCTGCACCTGAGTTGGGGCAATCCCAGACGTGTGTTCAGGAAAAGTCACTGGGAGCAGCCCCACAGAGAAGGGCTTGGAATTCCTGTTGAACATATGCCAGCAGTGTGCTGTCACAGGCCAGAAGGCTCACCGTATCCTGGACTGCGGCAAAATAGGAGGGCTAACAGGACAAGGGAGGAAATTGTCCTCCCCCTACTCTGCCCTTTGAAAGTCCACCTGGAATACCACACACATTGCCAGCACAAGATGTGGAGCTGTTGGAGTGGGGCCAGAGGAGGACCACAAAGATGACCAGAGCAGTGGAGCTCCAGTGAACAAAGGCTGAGGCAGCTGGACTTGTTCAGCCTGAGGAAAAAATGACTCTAGGGAAGATCTCATTGCAGCCTTCTAATACTTAGAGGGAGCTCATAAAAAGGAGGGAGACTGACTTTTTAGATGGTCTTACAGTAATAGGACAAGAGCAAATGGTTTTAAACTAAAAGAGGGGACATTTAAACTAGATATTAGGAGGAAGTTCTCTACTCAGAGACCAGTAAGGCACTGGAACACACTGCTCAGCAAAGCTGTAAATGCCAATCCCCTGACATGTTCAAAGTCAGGTTCATCTGCTCCCCACGCAATATGATCAAATGGGTAGTAACTGTCCAATGCAAGAGGTTTTGGAATTAGATGATCTTTGAGATCCCTTCCCACCTAAGACATTCTATAATTCTGTGTTATTAACTAATTCTTCTTTCTGGTTGTGCACTGCATATTCAACTGAGCATCTCCACAAATGGTTGATCACTGTCTCAATTTTTATTTTTTTTTTTCCATTTTAGAATAAGTCATTTAGATTGCCTACTCCCAGACATTTTGGCATGGCTGATAACAACTTTGAATGCCAAGGCACAGGTTTGTGAGGTTTTCTACAGCTGCCTAAAGAAGGCTTTGTCTTTCTCCTCTGCTCGATCAGTAGGTCTGTAGTTCACACCTACTACAACATCACCTGTGTTGGTCTGTTCTCTTCACACACAAGCACTCTACTCATTTGTCATCTGACCTAAGCCAGATCCCCATGCAGTCAGGCTACGGCTTCATATTGAGCACAAGTCCTCTTCCCCTTTTTCCCAACCATCTTTTCTGAAGATCCTCCATTCATCCTTCATAACACTCTAGTCAGAAGAGCTTCCACTATGCTTCCAGAACTCCAATGACATCATAGTTCTGCAACTGTGGAAACTTATAATTTGTCCTGCTTGCTCTCCATGCTAGGTGCTTTCCTGCACAGATATCTGAGACATATCACAAGTTCTGCTTCATTTACAGAACAGTGAGACCATCCTCTGTCAAGTTTATTACTCAGGCACACCTGTTCTGACTCTTACGGCTTTGCCTCTTCAGGTTATGGTAACTCTACAGTTTAACACTCTCCTCAGTAGATGCATCTCCGCTGCCTGCAAGTAGCTATTAGTCTTTTCACCTTTTTGCAAGCACTAAATTCAGGATCAGCTGACACTGACAGGTATTGTTCACCCTCACCACTGTTCAGGGCATCATAACTACCCCGAAACTGGAAATCTGGAGGTGCAGCAAATCCACAAGATTCTAAGAAGTCACAAGCCTTTGCCATCTTTACAGTCTCTCTCCATTTGCCTCAGTGTCCAAATGGAGACCAGAGATGAGCAGTGTTCTTCAGGGATTAGTGCTGGGACCAGTGCTATTTAATATCTTTATGGGCAACATCGGCATACAGATCATGTACACCCTCAGCAAGTTTGCTGAGCACATCAAGCTGAGTGGTGCGGTTGACTTCTTAGAGGGAAGGGATGCCATCCAGAAGAACCTGAACAGACTGGAGAGAGGTGTGACCATGCCAACCTCATGAAGTTCAACAAGAACGAGTGCAAGGTCTTGCACCTGAGTTAGAGCAATCCCAACCACAAATATGCACTAGGTGGAGAATGTCTTGAGAGCAGCTCTGAGGAGAAAGATTTGGGGGTGTTAGTTGATGAAAGATTCAACATGAGCCAGCAATGTGCATATGCAGCCCAGAAGGCTAACTGTATCCTTGGTTGCACCAAAAGAAGTGTAACCAACAGGTTAAGGGAGGTGATTCTGTCCCTCTACTCTCCTCTCTGGAATAGTGTCCAGTTCTGAGGTCCACAAGACATAAGGCTGTTGGAGTGAGTCTAGAGGAGGGCTACAAATATGATCAGAGGGCTGGAGTTGCTCCCCTACAGGGACAGGGTGAGAGAATTGGTGGTCTTAAGCCTGGACAAAAGAAGGCTCCAGGGGGACCTTACAAACAACCTTTTAGTACCTGAAGGGGGCTACAGGAAAGCCAGGGATAAACCTTCTATAAGGGCACGTTGCAACAGGACAAGGAGAAATGGCTTTAAACTGGATGAGGGTATATATAGACTAGATATTAAGAAGAAGCTCTTTACTGTGAGTGCTGAGACACTGGGACAGGTTGCCCAGAGATCCTGTGGATGCCCCCTTCCTGAAGGTGTTCAAGGTCATCCTGGGTGGAGCTTTGAGCAATCCAGTCTTGTGGGAGACGTCCCTGCCTGTAGCAGGGGAGGTTGGAACTAGATGATCTTAAAGGTCTCTTCCAGCCTAAACCATTCTATGACTTCAGTACCCAAGTGCTGAAATGCAGAAAACAAAGGAGTCAGAAGTGTATATTCATTTAGGCCTCACCATTCAGAGGAAGTAAATATGCACAGTTCAGAGGAGAACCCCTTGAAAGAAAAACAAGTTATTCTGATGAATTAAAATGACCCAAGGAGAAAAAGAAGGTCCATCATTAAGTATCAAAACTACCCCTTATTTCAAATGGAGCACAAGAGCAATAGGATGAAGTCCTGTAGAAACCTAACCAACTATACAACTCAAAAGAGATTTCTCCACTTGACATTTTCACTGCTCATTTGTGCAAAACCAGTTTCAGGAAAGATTATTTGCTGACTAAACTCAGGGAGACAACTAACTTTGAGCAGCTGAACTAGACTGAAAGGACTATTCAAGATCATAGTGAACAATCCAGTATCTACTGAATTAAGTACAAAGTAAAAGCTTGTCCAACCTGAACATTTAGAAGGATAACCAAACCTATGTACATCAGGTTTAAAACTTATTTTATTAATGTTAGTAGACTTATCAAAGTTTACATGCCAAACAGAAAAAGACAACAAAACAAACAGAGAGAAAAGAAACCAAAGACTAGACCAAATGATAATTATTTCTGGATTTCTGGTTTTCTGGGATTAACGTGGTTGACTTTAAGGTCGTTTTTGTTTTGTTTTGTTTTTACTTAATTTTTCTTGATATTTCACCATCAACTACCATCAACATAGAACTGTTTAACGAGGTTCTGAATTTACTTTTTTATTTGGATACAGCACTCTTCATAAACATTTGTGTTTCAACCAGAGTAGAGCTCTCCTTGATTTTTTCTGATCACCACGTGGTACTACAACTCCCAGCAGTAGCAATGACAGTGCCATACACACCACAGCACAATAATCTCGCACTGCATAATCTTTGTTTTCACTCTGCTCAGTACAGCTGTTGCCCCCAGGCTCAGAGACACACTGACTTGGATTTGGGCTGCAGAGGGAAACAGGTGAGTATAAAGCTAGGATAGAACAAAAGACAGCTAAAATAATCCATCCATTAGAACAGTAACATACCGTTACTCCAGATATAATTGGTGCTTTTCCTTCAATTAGTTTATATATTTCTTGAATTGCTTCCTCATCACTTTTTTCTTTAAATCGCTTCTTGGAGAGTTCCTGAAGAGCTTCTTTAAATTGTTCAAAACTAATAGTTCTAGAAGACTTTCCCCTGCCAAAACATACAGAAATTTAAAGAAATTATAAGAGAACACAACAAACACCCCAAGAATAGCAGAATATTCTTAGTTTACCACAGGGAATGAGAGAAAATCTAGCAGAAAAGAAAGAGCCATTTGCACCATTTCTCAGCTCACTAAAACATCACTTTCTTTTTCATAAACATCAGTAGGATAACACTGAAATAATCCCACAGGTGTCAGTTCAGAAATAAAGAGGAACTAGAGGAAAGACTAGCAAGCTATCAGAACGTCTGTAGCTTAAAGAAAGACACTGATTGTCTGTAGATCTGTATCCATAAAAAAAAAAAAAATAAATTAAAAAAAAATAAAGAAGCATCTTTGGTGAGTTTTTGTTTTTATTTTTTTTTTTAATTCCTTAGCTGTCAAGAGGATGGGATCAGCTCTTTTCAGTGGTGCCCAGCAACAGGACAAGGGGCAATGGGCACAAAGTAGAACACATGATGCTCCATCTGAACACAAGGTATTAATATAATACCTTTAATTATATAAACTTCTTTACGTTGAGGGTGATAAACCACTGGAACAAACTCCCCAGACAGGTTGTGAAGCTTCCCTTGGAGAACTTGCCTGGATGCTTTCCTATGCAGTCTACTGTAGGGAATCCACTTTAGCAGGGAGGTTGGATTAGATGATCTCCAGAGGACCCTTCTAACCCCTATGATTCTGTAATTCTTTGAATAACAGTTCATGTCACTTTATTCACAGGTTCAACGTGTTCTCAATCAAATTTAAAATAGCAATTGGTGTTACCCATGCTAGTGTACCATTAGAAAGCTTAAAAATCCTCTTTTATCAGAGACAAATTTTGTAGTGATTAATTTGCATACAGTCCCTGTTTGCCTTCTAACCATCACCTTTGTAAAACATTCACATTCATGGAAAAAAATACAACAGTCTTACAAAGCCCCCAGAAATTCAGAGCTGAAGATTTCCTGTTGTATTCACCAATGGGAAGCCCATATTCCCACACTGGTAAGTATTTGCTTAGGTTTTGTTCCAAAGGAAAGAATTTTGCTAAAACAACTTCCCCTATTTAGTAAATTACAGACTCCCTGATCTTCAAATGAATTTACACATTAAAATTTATGCATTAGTTTTAAGCTAAAATTCAGCAGGTCAAATAGAAAAATTTCCAAAAAGATGTTTTGACTGACACTAAAAATGGTACTAATTAAGGCTACAGCAGAGTAATAGATGATTTTTTGATTTAGGAAACCCTTGAAGTCAAATCCACGTTGCTGGGAAGCATGCTACTACATCAGATTTGTTTGCAGCCTAAGCATTTATTTTATGTCAATTTGGACAGCATCTCTACCAAATACGCAAAAAAATAAAAAACCCAGATAATCCTTTTAGCAGTGACAGCTGTTTATCAAGAAGTAAACGATGGATGCAAGCATAGAGAAAGCATGCACTGGCAACAGAGAATTCAAGCTTGAAAAAGTACAAATTTAATTCAAATTCAACTGTCACAAAAAGTCACAGCCCAGAGTGAGTCAGATGTTTTTTCTTTCTTTTCTAATTTCATTTCAGACATACTCAGGGGTCAAATTGCATTCAAACACGATACTGACTCCACTAACAAAAGGGAAAAGGAAGATTTCACAGTTTAAGACGCCAACAGTTCAGAAATAAATCCTATGTCAATTAACACAAAGTGAAGCCTCGTTTTTTTCTTTTTTTTAAATAAAAAAGAAAAATTATTTATTTACAACAAAATGCACAACCCTTTATATAACAGTTCACTGCTGGTGGAGCTGTGTTGGAGATGAAAGACACATGTAGCAAACCCCTACTATCAGTACTACCAATTCTAGGCAAAAATAAACTGTATATTTTGATCAAATTCTGCTTTCTGCAAGCACTTGTCTGTTTCAAGTGAAGTCCGTTCTGGATTATCTCATGGAATTAGCTAGTAAAAGAACACAGTGACAGTGGAAACAAAGAATACAATCCAACATTTCATTAATCAGAAAAAACACACTGCACACAGTGCAATTAACTGCTTGGAATTCATCCAGAACTCTCATTAATAGGATTAACATCCTTCTGATGATGATACATGTTCAAGAACTTCTAACTAGCTCAAGAGGTCAAGACTTCGTATTCGTGTACCTCTTACTTAGAAAAAGACTACATTGGCAATCACCACAAAGCTTCAGCATAAGGCCACACTAAGGCTCTTGTTCAGTAAAGATTCAAAGCCAAATCCACCACGAAGACCTTTCACATGCAACTTTCTGTATCACAGATGTTACCTGGAAGTCAACAATCAGAACTGCTACAGCTTAACCTGGATCACCAATCAGGAACACCTTAGGAAACTCCCAGAAGTGAATTTTTATGCTCACAACAATTCCTTCCTAAAGGCACTCTATTCAGGTGTACTATTTTTGTTGCCTTTTTGTTGCTTGTTTTGTTGCCTGCTCCCTCCCTACCTTCCTTTATAATCCCATTCACAGTTTGGGGTTTGCACTTCAAAGGCAGAAGTTTTTGAAATGTAAAGGGCAGGGGAAGATAAAGTTCAGAAAGGAATGGAAAATATTAACAATAGAGGGCATGTGGAAAAAGAAAGCTTTCATGAAAACACAAGCATCATAAAAGTGGTCTCTGCAATGAAAAGTGAAAAATATGTACAAAAGGGAGACTAATAATATAATTTTTTTAAGCCTTGTGCTTAACTATGAGACAAAGACACCTTTAGGTATAGGAAAGATAAGCCCCAGCATTCTATTCTAAGCTACACTTCCTATAACAAACAGAATTATTCAAATGCATCACCCTTCACTGGAGGAAAGCATATCCATGGTACACATTAAATTTCTTTCTAACTGCCCCTACATTTGGGAACAGACCAATGGTATTAAGAAAAATGTCTGGAAGGTGCCCTTTATTCTCCCTTTCTTGATCGATCTCTCCACATGTGACCACTAGATTCTGAAATAAAGTTTTAATTCCTCAGTTTGTTTTTGAAGTCCAGGTTCATATACCACGGAATCACAGAACGGCCTGGGTTGCAAAGGAGCTCCATGCTCACCCAGTTCCAACCCCCTGCTGTGTGCAGGTCACCAACCAGCAGCCCAGCAACCAGAGCCACATCCAGCCTGGCCTTGAATGCCTGCAGGGATGGGGCATCCACAGCCTCCTTGGGCAACCTGTTCCAGTGCCTCACCACCCTCTGGGGGAAAAACTTCCTCCTAATATCCAACCTAAACCTCCCCTGTCTCAGTTTAAAACCATTCCCCTTGTCCTATCACTGTCCACCCTCACAAACAGCCATTCCCCCTCCTTCCGTTCAAGCACTGGAAGGCCACCATGAGGTCTTCAATAGGTTTTCATGAGCCCACTTCTCCAGCCTGTCAGGTCTCTCTGGATGGCTTCCCTTCCCTCCAGTGCATCGACTCTACCACTCAGTTTGGTGTCTCATGTAAAACAATTATCAGTTCCAAGCCTGGACATTAGTGTAACAAACATAAAATACAAAAGATCAAGCACCGGCCCAAAGCAAGTTGTAATAGCAAATGTCACAATATTTATTTGGAAATGTTATTACTAACATTGTCACAGGACAACAAGATTAGTCCAGAGTAATGTGAGAATTTACTGCTGCAAATTAATACTTCTATACTATTCTACATTATTTGGACCTGCATACTGTTTGAACTAACAAGTGACTACTAGAAATTACACTCTGTATAACCCACACACAAAATTCTCAACCAGTATCAGAAATCTATCTGCAGTAACACTATTTCAGTTAGCTGTTACTACAGCAGTCTCCAATTTAACAGTTTTCTGTCTAAATCTCTAATCTACAAAAAGTCATCCCATACCACTTGCTAATCATGTTTCATTTTTCTTAGATTCAAAAGGGGAAAGGATGGTGTAGAAACAGTGAAAGAAGCTTCTAGTCTTGCTATCGTGCCAGGAAGGACTACAGCATTATAAACTAATTGGCACTGTTTAGTGTTGGCAGTTGTCACCTGACTAGAAAGTTTGGGTCTGTGGAATATGGAAAGTCTGACATAGGTCTGGAGGCAGCATAATTACAGATGGAAGTACAACGAATGTTTCTGAATAAACTCTTTTTCAATGAATTTTGTTCCTAAGGTTTACTTACTCCAAATTCACCGACTTGCATGTGTCAGCCAATTCAGATGTCACTAAAAATGTGACCACATTCTCCCCTGTAAATCTGAGTACCTTAATACTCCCCATACTTATGCCCTTCCCAAAGAAGATAAAAATGAAGGATTGCTCTGGTAACAGAATGCCCAAATGGCTTATCTGTCACAGTTTCTAACTTACTGGCATGGTAATTTTAATTGAACAAGTTCTAATGTGCCACTCCTGCTCTCACATTCTTCTAAGTTATTCCTCCATTAAGAATTAATATCTAAATAATCCAAATTAATCATGTAATGGTATCACATTCAATAGCAAACTTTACAACTCCAGCCAAAAATCTTCATCAATAAACATCTACCAGAACTATTCCCTAAATCCTAACAAAACCAAATGTGTTGATAACATTCACAGCAGACTACAAGACATGCCTTTTCCTCAAATCTCTAGTGAATGAGATTTTCTAACAAAACTCAGATTTCAAACTTGGGCTGAATCTGCTCTATCCTTAAATAGAAAAACAAATCTGAACTTAGAAACATGAGAAATGTGGCTGCTTAACAAACAACACTGTAATGAGAGAGATAAAGAAACATGCTTCTTGTTTATTTCTCTTGTATTAAATTAGAAAAAACAGATGGATCTTGTTCAATTTGTCAGTAGAAATCTGCTAAAGTAAAACTCACTACAGCTGGAAACTCACTGATTTTCACGTGCCAACAGAATTTTCTATTTGCAAATACAACTACAGAGAGAGGGCAGAAGACACTGCCGTACAACTCCAGCAGGTTTTATGTACTGTAGTATTTAACAGCTTTAAAGAAAGGCAGCAGTAAAAGAACCA